AACTCGGCAATATCGGCCTAAATTTTCGGTATCGGTATCGGCCAGATTCAGACCGATATATTTAGTTTCTCAATATGATCCAGAATGCTTTGAAAAATAGGTTAGAATACTGATCCTGAAATTATTTTTTGCTTGGATAGATCATGAACTAAGAATCAGAGTGGAAGTGGTGACTCCTCTACGGCCCATCGAATTGGGCCTCGGCCCATCAGGCTATGGGCCGCAGCCCAACAAGTTGTGTAAAGGAACTATTTACTTGACTAACACAGACAGTCTCCTAACTCGTAATAGAACTATAATGCGCTCTTACTACTTACTGAATACAGCGCGAAACACTGCAAAGAGCGCGAAACAGCGCAAAACAGTGGGGAAACAGCGCGAAACAGAGGGAAAGGAAACAGTGTGAAGCAGAAAAAATTTTTGCAATGAGTTCGCTGCACCTTGTTTTGAGTTGGAGTACCACGGCAGCAAATTAAAAACACAAACCAACGTATGTAGCCAGTAATGCTGTAATGGCAGGTCTGCCCCTGCTTGTGACACATTTTGGGTACCATAATTTAGGGTTAGGTAAAAAGGGACCTCCAGAAGTATGTGCACCAAGATGGCGCACAACCTGAAAATAGTATGTGTGTGTGTGTAGCGGATTCAGGTTGTGCGACATATTGCTGCACATACTTCTGGAGCACCAAAAAGGTAGATAAAATTTCGCACGATGACCTATAATCCGGTACATAACCGGTTTTGCGCTGTTTCCCTCTGTTTTGCGCTGGTTTCCTTCTGTTTTGCGGTGTTTCGCGCTGTATTTAGTAAGTAGTAAGACCCCTATAATGTGAAAAATGTGAACAAAATTTTGTCCTAACCCTAACCTGGTACACATACTACAGGAGTATCCTTTTCTGTAGCTGGCTATTTTGCTTTATTTTTATATAAAGGCTTATCGTAAGAAAAAAATCCGGTGGCATCCCGCGATTCTTTTTGGTAAGATAATTGAATTTTTCCCGATGGGGCCGTGGCCCAATTCGATGGGCCGTGGCCCCGGCCCATGGGCCGTAGAGGAGTCACCACCCCTGTAGAAGAATCATGCATGTCCCCATCCCTGCTAGTAGAAACAGGAATCGGATTATGACCTATTTTCAGCAATTTATCAGCCAAACTGGCTCGATCAATTTGAGTAATTTCGCTGCCAAATTTTTATAATAAATCTGGACTACAATTTGGCAATATTTTGGCATGTCTTTGGTGGATGAAAAGGTTTAGCCTCTCCATGCACTCAACTTTGGTTGGGCAATTTGGCATTTGACTTCAATTATAATCAGCTTGGTGAAATCATTTTTTTGTTCTTATATTATACTGTTCACTCTTGCTTGTGAATTTTTATAAAATTATTAAAATGGTGTGGCAAACAATATTATTTTTTACATTTCATCTTTTGTTCTAATTTCTTTTTTACAAATTTTTTTTTTTTTTTGGTTACCATAAAATTTATCTAAAGCTTCTCTCTTTTTTCTAATTTTATTAGTGCCCTATGGTTGTGTGTGTGTGAGTGTGAATGATTTGATTCAATAGTTTTAGGTGAGTGAACACATACCGCTTCTTCTTGGCAATACCTTATATCTTGTAGGTTTTAAACCTTGTCCAAGGTTTTGTTTACTCTCCTGATTTCATAATCAGTTTTTATTAATTTGTTTTTATCAACCATTTTATCGCCTTTTTGCTGATTATGGAGTCGAAATAAACTTATCTTATCTAAAATTCTTAATATTACATGGTAATTATGAAGAAATATATCAATCGCATATTAGTGGATGTTCCGATGTGTGAAACATAATAAAATAGCCTACGAAGTTATATTGGCACAAAATCCTGCGCACATAACTCAATGTTTCAGTTTCATACGATGAGTAGGCTAAATATTTATTTATTTTACCACCAACAGTAGCCAAATCCTATTAGTTTTCTAATTTGAACAACGAGATTACTAGCGCCAGCGCTCAATGTATCTGAATCAATTAACACATTTGGATCCATAACATCTACTTTTTAATATATTTATATATATATTCATATATATATGTGTAATATTTCTTTTTTTGAACCGAAACAATGTGCCCTATCAATAATGCTCAAAGACTATTGTTTTAAACTGTCTGCCCTGCATACTTGAGGTAATAATTACATAGTATCGAAATATCAGTCGTTTTCGAATATCGGTGTATCGGTATCGGCTTTTTTAGCTGGTATCGGATCGGTATCGGCGACAAAAGCGGTATCGGTACATCTCTAGTTGAAACACAGACTTAGTTTAGAAAGGCATAGTACGGTAATGATGGACAATATGTTAATATATTATCGTATGCCAATGTTTCTAAAACTTTATTTTTGCCCCTCAGGTAAAAAAATAATGATACTTACGGTTATATTATAAGTTATACCTGTAAGATCAAATTATTATGTCTTAATTTATTAATAATAGTGTAAAATACCGTGCATATTCATTCTCTAATTGTGATTTTTATTTCTTTTTGTACCTAACTATTGTATATTTATGATTCTAATATTAACTTTAAAAATTTATAATTTTAACCAATATGATAATGTGTGTTTGAATGAATTGGATACTACTGATGCTAAATTCATGAAATATAATGATGGCAATGGAAATCATATTGGATGGCTGGATGGTGACAATTAATGTAACGCGGAGAACATTGTTTACCTCTGACTATTTGAAAAAAAAAAAAAGACTAGCTTTTCCAATGTTTCCGACCATGATATTAGATTCATTAGACCAGGGTGGTCCGAGATTGGCAGCTCCGCGGGCTACAAAATCACTTTTGCGTTGTTCGCGGGCCACAGTAGTGCCAAGAACTTCGCTAGTTGCCTCAGCAAGCCATAACACTAGTCAATTCAGTGACATTAGTGATGCAACAATATGTCAAAAGATTTTTTGGTTAATTTTATGACGAAACAACACGGAATGCGATTTTTTTTATTTCTCTCCTAATGTGACCCGGGCCACAGATAATGAAGCGGCGGGCCACATGTGGTCCGCGAGCCTGGCATTAGACACAAAGTAGACCTATGGATCATTTGTTGCTCTGTTGCGATTGCTTTAAAAATGTGCATGAATGTGCGACTCTTATGTACTGACGTACCTTTACCACATTAGACCATTACTGCATTACCGGTACGGTACAGCTGTACCATGTTTAGGGTGCCAATAGTGATCACTGCACTTTAGATTCGTTGGTTTGTGTATTGATACAATGGTTACTGTTGAAATTATGCAAAAACGTTGTGTCAAGTTTTGTTCTACATTTATCAAAAATTCCGGGAAGCCCATATTTCACCACTCGAAATATACATTATATTTAATTACAAATTCCTGGGCATTATCGTACTTTCAGTCTAAACTTAGGTAGCCCCTTATATGCCAAAAAACTGATTATATCGAACGTTTTTTCAGAATGAAGCATTTTTGGACACGTAGTGGACATAGCGATCGTTTTAATATTATGTGGTTGTTCTTGGTATTATTCTTTTTTTTCTTCTCCTTCGTCATACTTTTTTGGACACTTAGTGGAAAATCTAAAAAGTCGCTTTTCTCTTTGATGACCGGACCAATTGCTTTGAAATTTTTAGTGGTTAAAGATGAAATTTTTCTCCAGAAGGCTATTACTTTTATTTATATCAAATTTTTTGTTAGCTCTGTAAGATTTGTTTTTGTTTGCTATGACGTCACTGAACACGTTCTGCGGACATCGGACGCCATTTTGTGTCCGACTGTACTGCTTCGCTTGGTGTGAATATATTTGTAGACTGTAGTGGTATCTGCTGTTACATTACCGTGATAAATCGAATAAGTTGGTTTTGCAAAGAAGAAGCGTCTGGCATTACAGGTAGGAGGGGGAATAGGGGGGTGCGCATTTCCAATAATACGTCGATAATATCTTCGTCAAACAATTTGCGACCACCGTGCTACAGGGGTGGTGAGAGGCCCTTCGAATTGGGCCACATGGGCCGTGGCCCCATCAGGAAAAATTCAATTATATTACCAAAATTTTCAATTTCTACAAAATTGTCAATATTTGAACCAGAAACAATCGCGGATGCCACCAAATTTTTTTTTTACTATAAGCCTTTATATAAAAATGAAGCAAAATACCAAGCTACAGAAAAGGATACCTACTCCTGTAGTACGGTATGTCAGTCAGTATGTGTACCAGGTTAGGGTTAGGATAAAATTTTGTTCAGATTTTTCACATTATCGTTCTATTATGAGTCCGGGTCCCGGGGACTGTCTGTGTTAGCCAAGTGAATATTCCCTTTACACAACTTGATGGGCCGCAGCCCATATCCTGATGGGCCGAGGCCCCGGCCGTAAAGGAGTCACCACTTCCACTCCCATCGTGTTTTTGTCAATATTTGAACCAGAAACAATCGCGGATGCCACCAAATTTTTTTTTTACTATAAGCCTTTATATAAAAATGAAGCAAAATACCAAGCTACAGAAAAGGATACCTACTCCTGTAGTACGGTATGTCAGTCAGTATGTGTACCAGGTTAGGGTTAGGATAAAATTTTGTTCAGATTTTTCACATTATCGTTCTATTATGAGTCCGGGTCCCGGGGACTGTCTGTGTTAGCCAAGTGAATATTCCCTTTACACAACTTGATGGGCCGCAGCCCATATCCTGATGGGCCGAGGCCCCGGCCGTAAAGGAGTCACCACTTCCACTCCCATCGTGTTTTTGTCTGTTTGATTGCTGTGATGTGGTGCTTTGTTTATAATTTGACGAGTTTTGTTCGAAATGAACGTGTTCTTAAAATACATGACGGTCAGAAATGCAATTAGAAGCCCAATGTTTTCAAAGATAGAAGAGTTCTGGTACTGTAACACAGCGCGGTGACACTGAACTATATTTGATCACTGCTCTCTTGTGTTTATTATCGTAGTTTCTTGTGATATTTTCATCATTGAGTAAATATTTCATTATTTTATATACCAAATTTGTGTATTCTTCAGATCCTTGGTAAAAAAATTTAAGTACATTTATCTATGGTTTATTAACATGGACAATTCGGAATGGAGAATATTAGATTTGGGCAACAGTCCTTTGTCATATGAGACTGCAAGGTCAGTGATTTTAGATCCAGAAAATGCAGATAAAATATTCCGAGAAGTGCCCTACATCATGCCTACAGGTGGAAAAGCTTACATATTTCAGAGTCCTCATGCTTTAAGCAAGTTGCACCCGAAGTTTGATCCCTATAAATTTATGTTTATGGGTAAAGGATACAATAAAGAATTTGACGTCATGAAACGGTACTATCATTTAAAGCACAGTAGAACTGATCTTGATAAACAACTGTATAGCTTTCAAAGGCACATTTATAGTCTGACACTTGATAACCAGCATGGCATGACAAATTTCTATCTTATACATTATTTTGGAAATGACTATCTGTTAGATGCCGCTCAGCATAGACGGGGTGCTCCAACAGTTGCTGAACATGGAAATGGGATTATTTTAACTGAAATTTCTTGCGAAGATACAGCTAATTCTCAAATTGCAATTTGTGATGATGATGAACTGCCAGCAATGGCATCACATTTCCTCGATGAAACTGAGGAATCTGATATATTTCCTAATCATCAAAATTATGAATCAATTCAGCCAGTTAAGTCAACTATGAGAAAACGAAAATTTGTTGATATTCAGCCATACAAACATGAATCTCTGTCGGAAAAAAAGTTGTCAGTTCATCTTGAAATTGGAGAGCATCCATCATCAGGTGATTATGATACTGCTTGTTTTTTTTAACAAATCGATGCTCTTCAAAATTATCTAGATTACATTGTGTTTGTGAGTTAACATGAACTTATTTTCAGTGGAGATTGACAACATAGATTACCTGTTTGCAATGAACATGTCTGCTCAACTACAGCAACTTCCAAAAGAGATGAAGGCTAGAGTGAAATTTCAAATTGCCACTGTGTTTTATGAAGCTGAGATAAAAGCCCTAAATTGCTCCAGTACTGACCTCATATCAGATGCCAAGCTGAATATGTTCATCAAGTAGTGGCGGCATTTTGAGTGAAATTATTGACCCGATTGGACAGGATCCATAGGTAAATCCCAAGAAAAGAAAAAAATAATGGTCTGGTGAAACGCGATATGAAGAAAAATAGCAGCACCTGTTTCAACATTTGGGATACATGGGGGTAACAAGAGGGAAACTGATGGCTATATACCTCAGGATGGAGAGTGCAGATAATCTCTTTTCTGCACATGATTCCTGAGCAGTATTCAAATTTTTGACCTGGGTAGGCTATCCCTCCGTAGAGCTGATTTTTCTTTACTAGGAGGCAGTTATCATTATAAAATTATATTATGATAAGATTTTGGATAAAGGTGATAACACTGGGCATTGACATGACAAATCATGTCTAGCCCTAGTCTACCAGTTATCATTATCAAATTATATTATGATAAGATTTTGGATAAAGGTGATAAGACTGAGCATTGACATGATAAATCATGTCTAGCCCTAGTCTACCTTATGCCTTTTGGATGAGATAATTTTGGGTTAAAAAAACGTCTTGCCGGGCTAACTTTCATCTAATATGCCAACCTTCTTCCATGATAGGTTAGAAAAGCTGAAGGCAACCTACTGTAAGCTAATTTTAATAATCCATTTTATTCTATGCTTTCAAAAATTAAAATTTTTTCCGATGCAAAAGTTCGTTTTTTTGTTGGATGTAAATTTAAATGAAATCTGGCCCCTATAATCGCCCTGGCTCAATGTTGTTAATATGAAGTAATGTTTATATACAAGGCGAACATAATGAAAAATTATTATAGCTGTTTGGACATTCTGCGCTGGAGTGCTCAATCAGCGAGCTCAATCAACCAATTTTAGGGGGGCGCTCGAACAATGTTCCACTGTGTCGTTTCATGCGTGGTTGTGAACATTTTTTTGTCATATTGGCTGCCCCCTGGCAGTTATTAGTTCTTTATTAGTAATTCATGTGCATATCGAATAACTTTGGTTGGCATATTTATTTTTTTGAATGTCGAACATAAGGAAGATTTTAGAGGTATTGGCAGATAAAGGACAGATACTGACGTATTTGCATCTTGCATTTGTGAATGTTACCCTTTCGATTACAACTTAGCATGACTTTCGCATGCAGTGGTTAACTTTCATTGAAGGCATACACAACTCTCTTGGGTGAGCGAACACGTACTACTTCTTTTATCAATACCTTTCCATCTAACATCTGTACGTTTCAAACCTTACTCTAGGTTTTGTTCGCTTTCCCGATTCTATAATCAGTTACTTTTACTTTTGTTTTTATCGTCTATTGCTGATTATGGAGTCGAAATAAACTTATACTTATTATACTCATCAACCTGCGGGAGACATGACATCCACTCTTGAATACATTCAAAATAAGAATGGAAATATTGCAGGGGTGAACTTGAGGATAAATTTTTTAGGAGTCGGGGGCATATGTTCCTTTAAACGCTATGTAAAAATGCGCGTTGACATAAAACTTGTCCTATCAAAGATTGCGGTAAATTTCGCATAACAATTGCACTTTCATTGAAGCGTCTTTGTCAAACACTTTACACGTTGCAACAGTCCTGGGACACTCGTTTTAAAACGGTGGCAGGCGTGTGGTACAAAACCTAGCCTAGATGGATGTAGGGATTGGCTACCAGTTAACCATACATTCCGGACATTTCATGCAGCGATCTGCTTCGTACTGTTACCGCCATTTCGTGACTTATATGCCGTATGAAATGTTGGCCGAGTAGCTCGATGTCTTGCTTCACTCGGCGACAAAACTTGGGAAATAAATAACATTCTGGAAGGTTAAAAGTATAACGCTGGTCTAATAAAACTGCGTTTTTTGATGAATCGAGCATCTGGTTTGACAATGAGCACTTCATCGCGCGGCACACCCGCATAAACATATACCGTCTGCGAAACGGATTTCAAACGCGACCTAGTTCAGCGGAATGTAGGACTGAACGTAACTAGAAAATTTCCACCCGAGGATTTGATTGGTGCTGAACGAGAGAAAAGAAAAAAGGAACAGGAATGCCTGACTACAATGGTAACTGACGGCATACAAGGCGGAACTGAATTGGCAGGTTCTGCGGCCAGATAAGGGTGAGTTGAGTTTTTTTAGTTAACAGCCCTAGGCGACTTATGAATATTTACTGGTATTATCGCATTTAGCACAAAATCTGATCTGCTGATACTACTAAGTTATTGGCCCACCATTCCTGTTAAATTAAGGTTATTCGAAACTTCTAATCTAACTCAACCCGATATACCGTACTGTAACCAGAATAATAATAAAATAGATGAGAAAACTAGTGAAGGGGCAATAATGGATATAGTACTACAAACATATTTTAAAAGTTCTTCATATTAAATTTATTTATTAATTATTGCATATCAAGCAGTGTTCTCATTATCAAGTATTTCTTGTTCTGTTGTTTCAGATATATTTTGCAGTTCATTTGAACATAATCAATGGTGTGTGAAGATGTCTGACTGGAACTTGCTTAGTTTAGGAAATGCACCACTTTCATTTGAGGCTGCTCGAAATGTACTGTTAAATCCTGCTAATGCAGTAAAAATATTTCCAGATGTGCCATGCATTAATCCAGTTGGTGGCAGAGCATATTTATTTCAAAGTCGCCTGGCATTATGCAAATTACATGCCAAGTTAGACCCGTACAAGTTTATGTATCTCGGAAAAGGTTACAACAAGGAATTTGGTGTTATGAAACGTTACTATCACCTGAAACACAACAGGACAGACCTCAACAAACAGCTGTATAATTTCCAAAGGCATATTTATTGTCTTGCTATTGGCGAATGCAGTAGTGATACTATGATCTTGTACCTCGTGCATTATTTTGGAAACGATTACCTGCTCGAGCATGCACCTTATAGAAAAGGTGTCAGCCCTAACAATGTTGTTGATCATACGGCGACACCTCTGGATATAAGTTGTGAAGAGACAGTTATTGAGTCTCTGGCATCTACCGTGTCTGACAATGATTGTTCCATTTCCTTTTCTGAAGTAAAATCAGAGTCTGAAGAAAAATTTCCTACTTCTGAAGATTTTACGCCTGTAGCAGATGATGATCAGTCTTCTTCGCCTACCTCAATTTCACGTAGTCATATGTCAGTTCAAAGAATTGAATCCAACTGTTTAACTATGGATCATGGATCAATCGAAGATAGTTCTTGCAGGATAGCTTCTTCATCGCAAAACTCTCTACCAATTTTCTCTGCCGAACAATCTTCTTCGAGGAAACGAAAGTCAAACACAGTTTCATCCGAAAATCAAAGGAAAATATTTAAACCTGACAAAAGGTTGACACTGAATGACACAGGTATTTGGGTTTTCTAGCTTTGTACAACATCAAGTTTTATCAATGGAGAGTTTTGTCATTCTGAATATAGTAACATTAATATTATGGGCCTATTTGGGTATGCAATCAAAATGCTTGTGACAGAATACTTAGTCTGATAGAAATGTTCTAAATAAATCTTTCCTATAAAGAATTGTCTGGTGATCCTTTCAAAAATGTATGCCCCATTCTGAGATAAAGACAAAAATATTGCATGCTTGCTTGCAACAGCTTTTCACTTATAAAATGTTGACGTTGTTGTAGTTTGATGAGAGTTTTTCATGTCGGTTATGCGGCTGCTTTGGACCAGTTTAAATTGATAACAGGTTGGAACTCATGACATATTGTACTATGTGTATTCATATTTCATGTGCATTCTTTGCAGATTTGAACAACGCAGAATACCTCTTTGCTGTGCATACAGCTGCTCAATTGCAGCAGCTACCGAGGGATATAAAGGCAAAAGTAAAATTTCAAATTGCAACTATATTTTATGAAGCTGAAATGAAAGCTTTGAATTGTTCTGAAAATGACTGATATCCAAATTTTTGGAATACAATTATTGTTGGTTGTATATTTTTCCTTGCTTCACGGATTATGCCTATTGTTTTTCGTAGTTATTCTCTTACATTCGATAAACCAAACTGGTATCGTATTTTTAATTCAATATTATTCATTTACTATACACTATTTTAGTGCCTATCTAAGACGAGCATTGTTCAGGTGCCTTGCCTGACTCGCACAAACCATATTTGAATCCTGAATAAATTAACGATTACTTTTTTTAATGTATTATAGTTGTATCGAAATTATCTGTAATCCTATATCTTGGCATATTGGCGTTATCCTGTTTTTATTTTTATAATGCCATTTTTATCAGCTTTTAATAATATTCATTTTATTGATCGATTTTTATATACTTACACTTACCGTATCAGTTATCATGCTGAAATTAGAAATGTCATCGAAAATATTTAGTTTATGAACTAGCTAGTGTACATTAGAAGCATCTTACTTATGGAAAATAGTATTTTCTTTCAAGTTCTAATATTTGACTAAAAAGTTTTTTGTGATGTCTTTCACGCAGAAGATTGTATTTGACCGAGGTAGTGAATTGTCGCAAGGGCTATGAATCATGATCAAAATATGTTAGTAAACTTAGTTAGTATATCCGTCTGTGTGAGTGCAGGTACTGTTGGAACCAAAAAATAAGGGTTCAGATTGACAAAGTGTTGGGTTGTTACCCTGGCTTTAAACATGTTGATCTGCACCACATTCACAATGCATTGTGAGAAAGGCTTCGTAAAAACCTACCATTTATTTGAATGTTTATGAACTTCAGTAGACTTTTAATTACTTGAGATTCATACAAAGTGAATGATTTCTGAATAAAAAAAATGACGGACGCGTAGGAATAAATTTCTTGGTGAAGAAGAAACAATCTGATGAAATATAAAAAAATTTTACAAATTGATTATGTAATGATTAACATTTTAAACACTAATTAATAAACTGAAGAGATATTTAATAAAAAATGTTGCTAGATCAGTAGTAGTAGTAAAAGAGTAGATCAGATGTCGAAAGGGTGGGCTAAACCAGTGATTCCCAAAGTGGGTGATATCGCCCCCCAGTGGGCGAAAACGATACAGAGGTGGGCGAAAAATTCGAAGGGGGCGATTTCGCGAAACCTGTTTTACGTTTGGCGCACTTAATTCTGTACTCTGTGTGCATTCGCAGGCTTGAATCCTGTGGGCGATTATCACACGCGAAAGGATTTCTGAACTCGTCTTCGCAGTACGGAACGGTAGTTTGCGTATCCCAGTGGTCGGCAAAATACGGCCGGAGTAAAGTAATCTGGCCCGGGACGATTCACTGAATGGACCTTTCCCCGATCTTTGACTGCGGAAAATTCTTCCCATACTTTACCATTTTAAAATTGTCGGTGCTTATTTTAAAAGAGTGGTTTCACGAGTTGTTGCCTGTAAAATGGGGTATTTGTTTCAATCTATCTTTCTAATACACACCATTCAACAATCTGTTTTTAAAAGTACCGATAAAGAATTTTAGCCCAGTCTATCACAGCTATTTCTACACTAATTTTTGATTGCTTTATTTAAACTGAAACTCATAGGGAAACAAAGTCATCATTGACTTATTTGATCTATATTTAAATTTCCGAAAAACAACTAAAAATTAACGAATATAATTCAAAAACGCGAAAATGAGATAATGTTCACGACCACGCCTGAAAATCTGTCTGAGCGCCTGCGAAAGGACGCATTGTTACGTTTTTTGCATCTTGCTGATTGGCCAATGTCACGAAGTAAACAAGGAAGTCTATGCCCGGGAAAACATCCAAACGGCGGTTTTGACGATAATTTTTTTTTATTTATAATCTACGCTCGAGGAGTAAATAACATTGTCACAATAAATGTCATTGTGATATTTTTTTAATAAGACGACTGAGTTGAGTTCACGAATTGTCGCAGTTTTCGCGCGCTGTTCCGTTTTTAACTTTCAAAAAATATATGCGACCCGCAAAAGCCTAGCAACCCTGAATTTTGTCCTGCGAGCGACATAAAATTTGCCGTCAACCTGGGCCGTAGCCGATAGTCGGTCACAGCTTCTTCCACATCCGAGTCCATGAATCCAAAAACAAATGGCTGGGTAATTATGGACTGGTGATCGGACTAGAGGCCGTGGTAGGATGAGGAATCGGAAATGAATTTTACCGAAGTATTTTGGTGCAGGTCATCAGGCTGTACGAATGAATGAGATGTACGAAAATCATTATTATAAGTTTGGGAAAATCAACTTTGTTTTCAGTATTTTAATGTGAAATGAGGTGAATTTAGGAAGTGAAATGCTATAAGGCAAGAGTACACGGCGGTTTTTGAGGAGGTGGAACCCTAGATTCCTTCATTTCCAACCGCTAATATGATGCGGGGTTTTCAGCTGTGCTACTATTGCTATCGAAACAACGAAAACGACTTTCCACCAGTAAACGGGGTAATTTTATATATAATAGAAAAAAAACTCGCTGAAGAACACCAAGCCCATCTATCCTCATTAAAAAACACTATAAACTATGATTTGTCTTCTTATTGGTCTGTAATATGTTTCTGACTTTACATTTTTTGTATTGCCGGGGGCGATGAAGTTGTATAAATTACTTTAGGGGGGCGATGGTCAAAAAAGTTTGGGAACCACTGGGCTAAACCACGTCCTTCTTGTTACATATCAAGCCAGATTAGAGGCTGTCGGTATAATTGAGGCATGGGACTAAGATAGGGCATGGGTATTGTTTTGGTATTCGAGGGTGCATTCCAGGCTTTTCGTTTGTAGTCTGATTCGGGACAAGGGTTTATGAATTGAGGCTGTTGTTTCACAGTGCTGGTTCAATTGAATCGCAGGCGATTCATCAGAGTCTCGCCATATTTTGAAAAAGCTAGCTATTGAATTCATTTGATCATTATGAAAAAAATAGAAAATGAGTCTAAGACTTGAATGAGAATGTTTCGATGACTGTGGCACCATGAAGAGACTGCTGCACCATTATTAGACTACTATTTTGAGAAAGAACATTTGTCAAATTGGTTTGAGAAGGTATTGATCCTTAGCTATTTATCATTATATATTGCTGAGAGGAATTCCATTTCGGACGCAGTAGAAATTGTTCGTAAACCTAGCAAAACCACTCAATTTTGATCATGGACGTTTCCCCGACCCTTGATAGATTCGCTGATTTCGATGTTGTTTTGGTGAGTTGGCGCTTACAAACTGGCTCACATGTTCACTAAACTAACTATAATTTTTATTCAAAACAATAAGCCATGTGCCGCTTAAAGCCATAGGTACCGGTTAATTTTAGGCTAGTCTATTGCAGATTTTTCGGAAACAACTGAAAAATATCACGTAAAACTGCCAAAAAGTGACGATGTTTACAATCACGCTTGAATATCTGTCGGAGTGTCTGAGCGGCGGCATAAATTCCAATTGTTACGTCATTGTTAACTTGTTGCTGATTTGTAATTGTTACGGAATCAAACGAGAAAATCGATGCTCGGGGAAACATCCATACCCAACGGACTATTCATACGCTGGCCATTATGTTAACTTCGCAGCAAGAAATCACCTAAAGACACTTACTAGTTTTGTAAGATCTTCAATTTCGTAAAATCCAAATATACGTTACGATTGCTCTTATTATTTTTAATTGCATTGGGTAAAACCAACGAATAACATGGTAAAAACTGAATATATCTACGAAAATGCAATTGTGCAATCTCCCGCATTCATATATAGACATTTTGAAAACCAAATGCATTCCACACAAAATTTCGAGAACCTCGATCTTAAGTCTGTAATTATTAATGATAGCACATTCCATAAATTGCGAGTGGATACGTAACTTGTGTATTACATATTCCATATCGTCACGTTGAGAAAAACGTAAAAAACTTCTTAATGATATTGTTATGCCATTGAAAGTCAATAATTTCCCATGGTTCATTTTTTAGTAGTAGCCGGATTTAAATTAGTTTGTATGACGCAGGTATGTGACCTCATGATGGCGCACTGTGAACTTGCGCAGAAATGGGCCTATGACTTGGGGACATACGCAATTTTGTAACTTCACTATATACACCAGTCCCGAGAACCAAACATTCAAAAAACGTTTGTAATTCCCAGTATCTACGATGTCTAATCCCCAAAATAGCTTATCTGTCTCAATAACATTATTTTTAATATTAAAACATATATTTCATCAATATAACGCGTTCTGCACTTGTACCTAAAATAATGCTTTCCACCAGTGGAAAGAAACCTCTTATTATTTGAAACCTCTTTCAAAGGAAAGGCAATATTTAACCAGATAAATACAATGACATATTAACAGAAACTTCGGGAAAGCAGACAAAACCTAAAATAAGGTTTAAAACGTTACTATGAAGAAAGGAAAGCTAATGCAAAGATAAGGACATGCGTCGCTCACTCATAGATATATATGCTGCTAGACTTCTACTGCTTGAACATATATGCAACACGCCGCGGTTTCTTGGAAGCAAAATGCTCAATAACGCGCTGATTAAAGTCATGCATCCCAGAAATAACGTCTCTGTGAATAGATGAAACAGCCAAGGAATTTAATCTATTCTGCTTCATTGTGTTTCTGAGATACGTTTTAATACGCTTCAGCGTGCTGAATGTTCGCTCTGCGTCGGCGGAAGAAATAGGCGTCGTTCAAAATGATGTCCAGAAATTTTGCAGATGCCGCAAAGGTAGTTACTAGAGTGTTATCTATGAGGAAACCCATAGAGCGCGCAAGTTGATGTGATGTTCAAAAAAGTTTGATTGGTGTATATACATCGCAATTCATTTTCCAATTTACCCACGTTTATCATGGGGTAAAATTTGGAGACAGTAGCCAACAAATGGATGGGAAATTGACGTGCAAATTTTGAAAATTTTTGGGGTTCATCAAAGAGAACGCGGCAAGGTGTTCAGTGCGCAGACGATCGCCTATTTGATTCACCAGAATGTCACAGCATTCCTTTGCAGACAAAATCAAACGCTGCGTTGTTTGCCCGCGGCGTAAAGAAGCACTCCATGTGTCGTCGTATTTTATTGTTTCCCGGATACGTGATACAGCATCGCAGAAGTCTGAAATACACGACTGCACAGACGCTCCATCCATTAGCCTTGACTGCAATGCGCCGTATAATACATCCACGTGATAGAATATTGTGGAGAAAAAAGCGAGAAAAAACGAAAACTCACCATCTTCTAGCAGACGCTTTAGACCTGCCGCCTCCCTCACAGAGCGTTCGTCCCAAACCGGAGAGCTCTGAATGCCATTGAAACACTCAATGAGCTCAGACCTAATTTCGGACACGCCCTGCATCACGCGTGATTGGAAGTTCCAACGTGTTGGTGCACAAGCTGGGAGACGGCGGCTACATATCTGGCGAAGGAGGTCAGAGCGCTTCGGCGAAACGGATAAAAATGAAGAAAATCCCGAAACATTTGCAAAAAATATACGGACGAGAGGGGTATCAAGACAC